CCCCCCGTACAGCAAACTAGCCTAGTCTTTAAAATCAGTCTAGCAGTAACAGACTTTGCCAATTACCACTTTCCTAAGCAATCCTATTACATGACCCGAACAGAACCTCACAGTGAATAGCACTGCCACTTGCACTTAACTTGTGCCAATAAAGCTCAATGGCTACCTGGAATAAGAACATTAAGATATTGCCCTCCAGATTTACTCTACATCCCCTGTGGAACACGTTTTATAATAACTTGATGAGTAGTTGTTTTGTAGTCCGCTCAGTGAATACTGAAACCCTTCTACCAATACTTCAGTAACACCGATAACAAAAGAATGCTGCAGCAATATATCCAGAGCTAACAAATAATAAGATTTGGTATCTTACCTTTAAGAACTTCCTGAATTGGTAGGTTGATGCATTTTTCAAATGGCTCCATATGTCCTGCAGAAGGCACTGTCTTCTGATCAGAAAATGCCATTTGTTCTGGCCCATCCATATGAAGTCTGGCTGAAGATTGAAGTAACTGTGTTAGCAGTGTGTTTATCTCTTCTAAATTGTAAACAAATTGGCCACACTTACATCACTAAAGAGGCTGAACATAACCTCGCGTTCTGTATCATGAACGCAGATCTTGTCTTGCATGTCAAAGATGCATGGGTAGTTGGTCAGAGTCCACAGGGCCACCTGAAATGCCAAGGAAAAAAGAAAGAGACGTGTTAATTTTCTCTTGCAAAATCAGAGTTCAGGGGTACATGTGCAGACTGAACTGCCAGTCCATACCCTGGCAAACTCCCGTATATCTCTGAAACATGCCCTTGTTGTGTACACGAGCACCACACCAAGAGAGGTACGCTTTCTAAAAGCGGCTTCTAAACACTTCTGTTGAGTGGGGAAACCCTGACAGAGGGGCATCTGAACCGCCTGGGCAGGAAGACGCTTGTGTTACAGTGCCCCAAGAATAAAACAGAGACATAGTGATTTTAATAGCATCTTGCGTAATTCAGCTAAACCAAAACAGATAGTAAAAATGCCCTGGACACCCAGGTTATGGCACGCTGCTGTTAAAAAAATGTTGGGTTTATAATCTGTCATACCAGAAGTATGTATTGGTATACAAAATAATCTAATTCAAAGTGTTGCACACCTCCAGTGCAACTTCAGGTAATGTCCTATCTGGCTTTTGATTCTATACTGTTTCTCAAACCTCCTCCTCCGCTCTGGTTAACTGGTACAAAATTGGTACCTTAGCAAAGGAAAGCTTATGAAAGAATTAGGCAGTAGCCCTGCAAATTCCAGCCAAGTTACAAAAAAAAAAAAAAAAAAAAAAAAAGTATTTTTTGCCTAAGGAAGCCCCTCCTATCCACGCTTCCATTTCATGCTGCTTCCTGTGACACCAGTTGCATTTGGTTGCTAATTTTCACTCCTTTGTGTCATCAAGAAATGAACCATTTCACTGATTTTTTTTTTTTATTACCAGGGCTTTGGTTTTAGATGTAAGCAAATTGAAATGCTCAACAGGGTTTTGACATAAAAGCTTAAAGAGATCTTACAATATTTCTGTTAATTAAACATAATAAAATCCAGAGCAACAAGAAATATGGCAACCATCCCTCATGCTGCTATTATTTCACACGGATCACCAGTTCAAAGCAAACAGAGTTGCTTACGATGCTGGAGGACAGCTCCAACTTTCAGAACCAGGCGGCATCTCCAGAAAGGCACTACGGTAGCTGCTAAAATACTGGGATGGTAAACGGCTTGCGTAATTTAGAACAGCTGGAGGACTAGGGAAATGGCATTGATTTGAGATGTACTGGGCTCAAGTCTAGAGTTGACTTTTCTATGTATTGACTCATTTAAATAAAACAGAAAAAAAAAGTGGTTTGCACTGCTGGTAGGATTTTATACTTACTCCCATATCAAAAAACGCACACAATCCAATAATCTCTTTCACTTGAGGCACATAGAAGTTGTTTTCTTGTACTCTGAAACCAGTTCTGGAGTTCACCTGCATTGATAGATGCAGTAGGAAAAGGGGTGTCAGCAGATCCAGCGAGCTACGTGCCGGTGTGGCAGGACAGGACTCCCTAAGAAGTAACGGGGCTCTCTGCAGAAAGAGCTCTGAGACCCTGCACAGAAGGGGAAGCCTAGAAGTGCTACAAGTAGCACAGCACTCAACAGTGGGAAGTCTCAGAAAGCTACGTATTAAACTAGCAGGAAAGCAATTTTCATTTACAGTGTAGAGCCCTTAACAGGACTCCATCAGGAAAGGTACGTTTCGCTTTGAGTGTCTTTCATGTTGCAGGACAATGTGAAGTTCCCTGTTCCCGTTCAAACTTGTTGCCTGGCAAAGATACAACGGGGGCAGGGGGGCGGGGGGGGGCGGGCCGGGGAGATTTAAAGCTCCAAATGATGTAGCTACTTAAGGAGGAGTAGGCCTGCTGCACTGCTGAGTTTATCCACATAAATACAGATTCAAGAGCCTAAACTTTCAGGACCAAATATGCATTCTCAGCCAAAGGGATATTCAATCCTGAAAAAAATTCAGCAAGGACATGGAACTGTTGGAGTGGGTCCAGAGGAGGGCTACTAAAATGATCCGAGGGCTGGAGCACCTCTCCTATGAGGACAGGCTGAGAGAGTTGGGCTTGTTCAGCCTGGAGAAGAGAAGGCTGCAGGGAGACCTGATTACCGTCTTTCAGTACCTAAAGGGGGCCTATAGGAAAGATGGGGAAAATCTTTTTAGTAGGGCCAGCTGTGACAGGACAAGGGGTTTTAAAGTCCAGAGCAGGAGTCCTTCAAAGTTATGCTGATGTAGAGCCACAAATATTCCTGCAGCAATGTCAAATGACGAGGCCCCATGTTCCTTTGTAAGAATGACACCCAGACAATTCAACAAGTAAAAAGGGTTAAAATACTCTAACTCGCACTGATGCATCCTATCCAACCAGGATCCAAACACTTTCTCACCTGGTAAAGAATCTGCAGTATTTGCAGAGTCTCTCTTTCATGTGGGTGCATTTTGTAGGGGTTTCTCAACCGACTTTTGACTCCCATGATAAATTGAGACAGGTTTTTCTGGGAAACCCTCTGATACAGGAAGACCAGTTTCTTGAAAAAGGGTGTTTCTAGATTTGACCACAGGCATTCTGTAAAGAAAACAGCTAGTGAAATAGCCATCATGGGTGACATGCAAAAAACTGCAATTTCTGGATGAAGCTGCATTTTTTACTTTTTATCAAATGAACTAAACCCAAAAAATGCGTAATTTTGCACTACAAAACCTAGTAAACCTCAGACTGAGAATTATTTTTTTTCCTTGTGTCTTGCTGTGTAATCCCCATGTTTCTACTTCTACTGAAAGCATTTCTTCCAGGCTGAACTCTGGAACAAATTACACTGGCAATACTAACTCTTGCTCCACAGCCAAAAATGATCAAGCATTTAAATCATTCAGTTCTATCATCATAAAACTCTACCAAGAGTTTGCAGGTCCTCTGGCTGGAGCTTCGTGATGGCTTCTGCTAGCAGCCCGAGAGAACTGAAAGAGCTGTCATCATCTCCCTGCAGAAGGAAAGGCAAGATCAAGTAGACTCTGAAATTTTCAGGTGAGATGGGAGTGGGAGACAGTGATGGCAATAACTTCGTAATCTCCTTTTGCACCTTCAGAGGAGAAAAAAAAAAAACCAAACAGGAGACAAGGGTTAAAAAGGCAATTATGTTTTGCCAAAATCATCTATGAATTACATTGGCAAAGAATTCCCAAGTTTCATGCACAAATCCAGAGGTCCTCAGTATCTGTGTAGTGAGAATCCTTATATCTAATCCTTACCTTCCAGAAGACTGCTGGCTTCTTGCTGATCTTCTCATAAAAACATTGCACTTCCGACATGTCTACACCCGAGACTTCTTTGGAAGTTTTGAAATGTTTGTCTCTATCACAAAGGAAAAAATAAGAACAGCAAATGATGCAAGAAGCTCTTTTTTGTTACTGACTGAATAGTGAAGCATCCTAACATCAGAGAATACTTGAAAAGTTCAGCCCCAGTGAGTATACTTTCATCTGTTCTAAGAAGATATTCTCACTGTGGCGTGACCTGATTAATATTCTGTCCTTCCTGCCTTGTGGAGCTGCGCACTGTTAATGGTAGGCTTCCTGTATTTCACTCTAAACCAACCTGCACTTCAGTGCTGGAAGGAGCTATTATGGATCCTTTGGGAGCTGTAAATATCACCTAAAGAGCTTATCGTAGAATCATAGAATCATTTAGGTTGGAAAAGACCCTTACGATCATCGAGTCCAACCATAAGCCTAACATTGCCAAGTCCACCACTAAACCATGTCCCTAGGCGCTACATCCACATGTCTTTTAAATATCTCCAGGGATGGGGACTCAACCCTTATCATCTGTCAAATGTCACTATGGGATAATCTGTTAGAATGTGAGCTTCTATAACAAATTTCAATAGGGTTGGGAGCGGGTGGGGGAGGTTAAAAACTTTATTTTCACACAGGCTTTGAAAAATACAGACTTCCTTCTTGCAAATTCGACTAATCTTCTCTACATACATGGCCAAAAATAACACTTCCCAGTCCAGTTTTCACACAGCCAATATGTTATGTCTAAGTCAGTGAATGCTACCTTTTCTCCAGGAAGCTTCCATTGATGCAAGCCTCAGATGAAAAGATCAGTCTGATTTTCCTGATAGCAAAAAACAAACCAAAGTCAACCCTTTACAACATGAGTAGCATCTTCAGGTTTTTCACTATGAAAGAACAAAAAAATGTGTGTACGAGCATGTCTGTCCCTGACCACATAAAACTTTTCTTAGCACCACTTTATCAACAGCGTTACAGAAGACATTGCATTTGAGGGGCGAGCGATCTTTGGCAAGCCACCTCTGCTCTCCTGGGCCTTGCAAGGCAACCTGCTCAAGTGCCCTGTGCCAGCCTGTATTGTATGTTGGTGGGCGTTAAGATGGAGATATCTTCTCCTGACAGGTTGGGACGTTATCTCGTTTTGTTTGTTATGCAAAATAAAAGGCACTGCAGCACAGGAGGGGGGAGGAACCCCTCCACAGACGGGATCTTTGTAGCACACTGAGGGAAAATCCATCAGAGTATCCATTTGCTGCTGCATGAAAGCTGGGTTCCCAGCATCTGAAGGGACATGTATTCCTGGTTCTATTTGTATTAAAGCAGCTACTTTATCAAGCTATTTGCTGCCAGGCCTTTCCTATTGAGATGTGGAAAGAACCCTCTCTCTCTCTCACCCTCTCAACAACCACTTTCCGTGTGATCCAAACCATACTAAAAGTGGTCAGAGAAATATTTAGATCCAAATTAGCCAAGATTTTTGAACGCTTGAAGTCAGCAGCTGGAGTCAGGCTTGCCCAAAGAAAATAGCCTCCCATGTAAGGTCTGAAAAAAGACTACGTAATCATCATTCTCAGCCATAAGTGAAGGCTTCCCACAGTAGTATATACCTACTGCTGTTGAAAATGGGGAACTAAAGAACAGACCACTAATTTTTAAATGCTGACACACACAAAACAGTCCAGTTTGGGTACTCTGGATTACGAATTTTGCACTTTTTTCTGCAGACCAACTCTTTCACTGATTTATCTTGCTGGCTCTTCATCAACTTAACAACCATTCTGTGCAAGAAGAGGCGGACAGGCTTCCAAAGCCAGGCAAGTACATCTGCTCTGTTCCTGCAAAAGGTTTATTGAAGGGCTGTTGCTTATCAACATCTCTTTTTCCTGTGCAAAACCTACATAAGAAGTACTGGTACAAGATTCTGTCTCAGCTAAATTCTTGAACATCAGTTCCTACAATAGACTCCAAAGAATAATAATGTTTAGAGAAAAATGTGTATCAGGGGAAAAAAAAAAAAAAAACCAGCATGTTTCTAACTTACTTTTTTACACTGCCCCAATGTTGCGAACCGGAATCAGAAACCCATGCATCCACTTCATTACCATTCAGAGTGGCAATTCCATTCAAACAGGAATTCTGTTGGGAAACACATTAAAATATTGACAAGATTACAGGTCTAGCAGATAGGATTCTTTTTTTCAAGCCAGTCATTGCAAGAAGATTTCAGCCTAAGTATGAACAAAAGAGTGGTCATACAGCACGATCCAGATGCGTTAACCACAGGACAGATGGGTAATTGCAATACAAGTTAGTTTCTGGGTAAGCACAGGAAGAACTGCAAGAGACCTATATGAACTTGGAGCGCTAAAAGCAGGATGGAAAATCCAAAGGTTTCCAGCAGTAAGGTGAACAATGGTAAAATTAGAAACCAAGATCAAATATGCGCATACCTTGTTCTTGCAAAGGACAATGCTTTGGTTTCCTCCCTCAATAACTTTGATCACCTTTTGTGACATCTTGTTTTCTGTGAAAGAATAAGAAGATTGTCAAAGGAACATTTGAAGAGACAGACATTATCTTTGGAGAGTTCAGTGCACAGATGTGGAACAGTAGAAAAACCCCTCATATAGTAGCTGTCTGTCTAAAAGTTGATTCTACGTGGCCATTACCCATGATGATACGTCAAGCAGCAAATGGAATTATCCATTGTAGAATCCACTGGGATGACCAAGCAAGCGTGAGACACAGTGTTAGCCTCTCAGTGCAAAAACGAAATCAAGAAAGCAAACATCTCCCTGGAAGAAACAAATAGAGATTGTACGCGTCTGCAATGGTCATTACCCTGACAAGATTTCCCAGGATTCACTGGTGAACTGATGGGAAGTGGTATCAACTGATTAGGCTTTTTCTCATCTCCCAGCTGTCCTTCTTCACCAGAACCAAACAAATAGACTTTGTCCAAGGAGGGGACATAGACCATGGTGTGCTGACTGTTCAGAAAAAGAAAAATGGTCATAACAAGACAATACCACTGAGCTAGTTGGAATAAAATTTACAGACAAGTTTTCAGAGTGGATAGCTGAGGCTCATCTTTAAAAGTCCTGACAGCCCAGCTATAGAATCCTTTTAACCAAAGTCTTAGGACCCTTCCTTGCATAAACGTTCAGCAATAAACAAACACATAAACTCAAAATTCCTATACTACCCTCTATTGTTTGTGATTTACCCTGGTTCCACATACAAAAATAAAGTGTTATGCCTTGCTAGCTTCATGCCCTTCCATTTTTAAAAGCACAACTATGCTGCTGAGCCTGATACAAAGCCCAGGGAAGTCAACAGGAGACTTTTTCTGGCCCAGTTCCAGAAAGGCAGAATGCAACTGGATAATTATCACCACTCTTCAGTTCTTTCTAAGGACCCGCCAGTTTGTCAAAGTGGACAGGAATTCGGTGGCTTTGCCGATGCAAGCTTTTGAGAGTCTTTTGCCCTTTGGAACCCAGTACGCCCTTCCTTTCTTAGAAGAGCAAAAAACCAAGGGCTTCTAGTGGTTTTTGCAGCCCTCTCCCTCTGCTCGGCAGGGGCTGAGGGTTCTGTTTTTGCTGGGGCTGTGGCAGGAGGGTGGCCTACACTTGAAGAGCGGACAATATTCTGACAGTGCTGACCTACTGGGATACAGGGATTTTAACACCTTGGTGACTCCCCTCCCTACTGTTCTTCAGTGATTCCCCTAAGACCTTGACACATTTTTGGCACATTTTTGGTATTTCCCCACCTGCCGCAGGCAACTTGCGAAACTCTTGCTCCCCACAGCTCGGCCACCAGACGAGGCACGAGTTCATTCCGCGTGGAGTTGTGACCAAGCTGGCCAGCCCCTCCTGCTCCAAAGGTGCACACCAACCCCTCCTTGAAGGCAAGGAAACGAACAACAGGATCACTGCATTACTAACGGCATTCAAACAGTCACCACCAAGAGTAAGAGCCAGCAAGGCACAAGCTGTTATATGGGACTTGATTAGAAATGTCCCCAATTCAAACACAGGTACAGGTCAGGCCTAATCTTACGCTGTCTAATGTCCAAATCATTTATCTCCCATGAAAAGCAATTTGAGTCCTGAGAGTAACTCCCTGTTGCTTAAGAATTTCCTGATTGCCCTCTACAACTACCTGAAAGGAGGCTGTAGCGAGGTGGGTGTTGGTCTCTTCTCCAGGCGATAGGACAAGGTGAAATGGCCTCAAGTTGCGCCAGGGCAGGTTTAGGAAAATTCTTTTTACTGAAAGGGTTGTTAAGCGTTGGAATGGGCTGCCCAGGGAAGTGGTCAAGTCCCCAATCCTGGAGGTATTTAAAAGATGGGTGGACGAGGTGCTTAGGGCCATGATTTAGTGGTGGGATGGCAGTGTTAGGTTTATGGTTGTACCTGATGATCTTAAAGGTCTTTTCCAATCTACATGATTCTATGATTATAACTTTACTTGTATGAGTAAACCCTAGTGAATTAGCTATTGTTCACATTTTCTGAAGTCCCCAATACGCTATAAAAAAGAAAATATTTTCAAAAAGTACTGAGAGTTGAACTGCACCTCTTTGCCCCAGGATCCCCATTCACCATCTCCCTGCAAAAGTAGGTGACGGGAATCTGAGAAAAGGCCAGTTTTCCTAAGGGCTTAGTTATCCTCCCTTGGGGATAGCCCTCAACCTCAGATGGAAGCAGGCGTTGCCATCCCAACTTCTCCGTGCTGAATTTTAGCACTATATCTTTTCTGGTAGGGCAAGACTTTCCATTTCAGACTCACCTTGGAGAGAACGGCAGTATGATCTGCCCCACATGCGATAAATACAGTCTTCCAGTGCTCTAACGCTCCGATGTACGATGGGCAGTCCCTGTCTGGAAAGAAGATAGCACTGCTAAAGTGAAAGGGTACGGGGGGGCGGGGGAGGGTGTCTCACACAAAGAAAGAATTAGAAAATAGGGGGGTTAGCAGTTTCCAGTCCTCTGTTAGAGCAATGCATGTATTGACAACTTGGTTTTGAGTTGCTTTCTACCCTTCACTATAACATACTCTTTCTCACAATGTTCTACCTTCTTCATGGCATTTTCTTTTCATTTAGATTTGATCTGAAATGGAACGCAGCACTTTCACATCTGCTTGCCAAAAGGTACGTGGCTTCAAAATATCTGAGCCTCAGGGGTGTGGGCTCACTCAGATCCCACTGACTTCAGGGTCTGTCTGGCTAGGGCAACCCTGCGCTAGCCTCCTAGGTTTGAAGACAATGGGTGACTTTAATTCTTCTCTCACCTTGTGTTTACAGAGAATTTAAGAAAGCAAAGAGGTATAAAATTAATTTCCGCCATGGAAGACTGCCTGGAGAGAGAATGGGAGTGGAAAGAGACCTCTGAGGCATATGGTTTTAAGAGCCCACACTATCCAGTTGGCCACGTACAATGATTGGAAGTTCTCTGTAGAAATGCAACCCCTAAATCCCTTGTCCCTGCACACCTTTCCTGGTCAGGAAACAAAGAAGTTATCCAGATACACTTTCTTCAAAAAACTTTACTGTCCACTACTGCTCCAAAGGGGCTTGGCAGTCCCGCGGAGCCACTCCCGTGTCCACAGTAAGCTCTCTGACCAGGAAAACACCCTCCTACTTGCTGTCCTCCCTTACCTTCTGTGTCTCCAAGCCCCAGCTGTCCAAAATCATTCTTTCCCCAGGAGTACACAGCTCCAGAGAGTGACACGGCAGCACTGTGAGCTCCTCCGGCAGCAATTTGAGCGAGTGAGATGCCCTTCAGTCTTTCCACCAGCTGCGGTGTGGTGAGGATGAGGGTGGTTTGGCTCCCCACTCCAAGCTGTCCATGAGTGTTCTGGCCCCAGGCGAAGAGCTCACCTCCTTCACACACAGAACAAAAAAAGCAAAGAGCTCATCCTCACTGCTTCCCCTGAGCCTTTGCACTTTGGGAGTGGGAGCGAAAGTCAGCGCTGTTTTCAGCTCCTCTTTGGAGGAAAAGCATGCTTGAAAGAGGCTACCTCTGGTCAGTGCCATGGCGTGCTGGTCCCCACATGCTATTTGAACAATATTTTGTCCTCCTAGTTCTTTCACCAGCCTGCAAAAATAAGGGGAAAAAAAAACCCCAACAAATCAAAATAGATAGATGCTGTCCTGTGAGACAAAGTAAAGGAAGAAGATCCTCTGCTCACCAAGTCCTAGCATATTTAGCAGG